TTCCGGACCTTGGTCTCATAAAATGTTCTCTGACTGGACCTCTTTAAATTTTAATTGAATACCCCTGGTTTAGAAGAACTCGAACAGTGAATCTCACAGAAAGACTCACAGTCTGCTCACACTGAGGTGTGTTCCCGTCTGTCAGGAGGAGAGTTTAGTCACTGACGCAAAGCTGGACAGATCTGTTCAATAAGAACGCTCTGAACATATATTTAATATAAAGTTAGGTTTTAGAGACCAAAGTCTGTGGTAGTTCAGGAGCAAAGTGCAGGAGGAGATGTCAGGACTGATCGCTGCTTCAACTGTCTCTGTTGAAAACTGCTCTGACTGCAAGTCCCGCCCTGCTCTGCTCTGATTGGATAAAACGACTCTGGAGTTTGTCTGATTTGTTGAAAGCAGTGTCCGTTTAATACTTAGGGTCCAGCTGCCCTCCTCTGACAGAACGACGATCCAGTCACACCAGTGAGGCTGGATTTTTTTATTTTATTGTTTTGTTTGTTTTTAAGAAATCAGGTCACATTTGCGACCCTGTTGACCCCCTGTAGTTTTCACAATCTCAGGTACAATTTCAGGTACAATCTTAGGTACGCAAGGGAGCTTTATGCCATTCCATCTGGTGCACTTTTTCTTTTTTGATTGCGCATGCGCACCTGCGAACCACTTATGTGCAACTCTGCACATAAACAYTGTGTTCAATCAAACACATTACAGACAACTTTATTTTATGAGGAGCTTAAAAAGTTAAGTCTTGTAAAAACATATCCTTAGAAAATTTCTATTGGTCCACAAAAGAAGGCATCTTATCTGGATGTGTGTTGGTTTGGTCTAACAAAATACAGCACAGGATCCCAAATCACTGCTGAAGACCTACAGCTGCCTACAGAATCACTTCTCTAACGTGCCATCCTACACAGAATTCATTCTCTCACATCACCTCCGGGAGGCGCTTATGCTCTATTAAAGAACAAACCTCATGAGTCAGAAAGTTTTTACTCTGCAGCTGTCAGACTCATGAACACAGACTCCTACATGTGCGAGGTTAGATTGGACAGAACTTCAAATCGATCGTAAGATTCTTTCAGGGATATTAAAATTTCAGTAGCATCATGCAGGTGATCGCAAGTAGAAACAATGCTAGTAAATAAAATAAATCATATGCACACATACGCACCAGTAAATGCTTGTACAGCATTGTTTACTGTTAAACCAGTTACTGGCTATTTATGATGGCAGTTGCTCTTTCCCGTCCAGAATGACTCCAGATCCAAAGCGGAATCGAACCAGACCTCATTGCTGTGAGGACTCAGTGCTAACCACTGAGCCATCATGCCGCCCACGACGTGGGTTAGAATTGCAAGACGCCCACAAATTTATGAAAGTGGTGATCTTAAATCTTAACATCAAACCACAGCTCATTCATTGTGCTCCCATATTTTATCACATAATCAGGCACCTGTGATACAAAAAATACAACAAAGGGTTGGACAATATTGGCAAAAAAATTTATCACGATTAATTGGTGTATTTAGCCGATAACGATTAACTTGACAATTAGTCACCTGGACASMCTTATGTCCTCGTCACATGACCAATTTAATGGGAAAGATTTGCTCTTCATAAAAATCTGTTCCAAATTGTGTCAAAATTACAGATTTCAAGCTATACGTCAATTTTTAAATTGCGTTAGACAAATAAATAACATAACTTTTTTCTTTAATGTTCGTCATATTTGAAGTGGAGAGGAGCACCGAGCGGACTGACTGGTGCCATTAATTGTATTAATCGTCAAGAGCCAAAAAATAATCGATTTTTTCTGACGATTAATTGCACACGATACGATTATGCCCAACCCTAAACAAAACACAGGTATTTCTTTCTTCTTACCCGTATACCTCACAATGCTAGACAGAGTATGTATAGAAAWTTTTAAGTTAAATTTAAAACGTTTTAATACCCTTTTTAATACCATCCCAAAACCTTTTAATCCCAACATGACTTCAAGCTATAGCTGTAGAGGCAAACTCTTGAACCCATTATTGGTTACTGGTTACAAAGATCTTCTTTGTCTCAGTAAAAACACTGAGCTATATGTAATTATTTCTTCTTTAACCTTAGCCCAAGACAAAAAAGTCATTTCATTTTTYCCATCCTTTCTTGTAGCTAAAATACTTAAGCAGAATCGATCTCTCTCTAAAAGCCCTTCTTCAGATTTATCTTCTGACAGCTCACAGCTGGTTTTTAAAAATCTACCAGCTTCAAAATCATCATTATTTTTAAAACTTGTCCTGACAATTCATTTTGTTTATTTTGAGCGCCGCTTCAATTTCTGCTACTAAAGAGACAAGTCCCGCCCGCACCATAATCCTGATTAGCTAGTAGGCCTGTAAACGTCTTAAATTGCTGGGCAAACTCAATATATTTTTTTTCCTGCAGCAACTTTACACCTGAGAGAAGATTCTGGCACAGCGCTAGTTCAAAAAAATTAATGTTTGTCAGTTGACGTTTATTACTTTTTAAACTTTTTAATGGCCTTAATTTTTGCTTATTTGATTTAATAATACATTTTACCATTAATACTTTTTACAACCCCACAGACACCCAGCTGTAAGACTTGTGTTTTTGTAGAATTTCTCAAAAATGCAGAGACTGCACATCGAAGCTTCTGTTACATTTCAGCTCAACATTTTCAAGTGAAGGATTTTTTTTAACTTGTCAAATCTCCTACAGAAAACACTGTAGAAACATAAAAATGATCTAATTTGACTTTATTCGAATCTTCTGGTTCAACAATTATTTTAAGATCTGACTTACAGCCTTCACACAGAACCTACTTTTCTGTCATCTTCTCATTAACTATGCACTCAGGGAGTGACAGACACAGCTGTGTGGTTACTGTGGCAACACAATGAGCCACTAGCAGCAGCTTTAACATTTACTCTTCAGCTCATACATCAAAGTGTAGGCAGTGGCTTAGCTTATTTCTAAGTTATGTTGGAATTTGGGACAACAGCTGCATTGACACTCTTCTAAATCTCTTCTGAAGGTTTTAAGTGTGGTTCTGCGCTCAGGACTTGTTTCTATAGTGACGACAGGGATCAAGCTGCCAGGAAGGTGTGTGAATGTGACATAAAAATACACAATGATGGGTTTGTATATTGGTGTGTAATTTCAGACACATTGGTCAGTGTCAGGCCATAATTCCTATTCTTACCCCTTTGCCGTYGCTCTCTACATAACTGCATTTAAAGGCACAGCTCAGAGTGTCTCTGTGAAGCTTCTGAAGCAAAGAGCTGCCACAGCCAAAAAGGACATTTTCAGYGCTCCAGCCCTCGTCACTAAGCTTCCTGAGAACCTGGACAAGACAGAGAGGGGAGGAAGTAAAACATGAGGCCAAACAAAATCAAGACAAGAATTTCAAGTTAAACATCACTTTAGTTTGACAAAAAGAGCTTCAGTGGATGTGGCACAACAGAAACAGCTGCTCACTCTGCAGTCCCATCAGCAAGACAAAGGTGTCAAAATCACCTCGGCTTCAGCAAAAACASAAAGCTTCACAAAATCAGGCACATATAGTAGGAAGGGTGTGCGTGAGTGTGTGCATTTGTTTTTCATTTTAGCAAAATATCTCATGAACTAACGTTTGTTAGAAGTAGGGCTGAACAATTAATCACATTTGCGATAATCTTGTGATTTGTTAAAATGAAAAWTTTTAACTGCGCAGCTGGCTGCGAATTGACCGGTCATATGACTTGTGCCTCCTGACATCTAACAGGCTGCAGATTAAATTTAAGTCTATCACCAATTTAATTTATGTAATGTGGACCTAAGCACTGAAGTCATGAAATAATTTTTATATCATAAAGTTTAATTGCAGTTCTAAACACATTTAGAGTTTTTCTTCTTTTTTTTTCTCTTTAACATCTCTCCTATAGCTCAGATCACAATTATTGACAAACATATTAGGTGATGATGTAATCTAGTGACTTGAGTTTGATTTTTCTAGAAAATAATGAGTTGGTTAAAGCAGATGTTTATTCTCTTTATGTTTTTTGTACTTTATTTTTTCATGATATTACTGGCTGGAAAGCAGTAAGCTTTATTCTTTTTAAATTTATATGTTTTTTTTCTATTTATTTATAGACTGTA